CATGTCCAAACACGCCCCGCAATTCAACACAAGATCGCACACAGCATCCCGCACAAGACCTCGAGAATTCTCTTGAAAAAACCAGACAACAAACGGCCGTGAAAAATATGCGGAGAAAAAGTTCAACACCCAGTCACAATGTACTTTCTACGCTCCAATTTGCTTCCGCCGACCTTCTGCCGTTGTTTCCGCGGCCCTTCCGCCAATCCCAGCAGGGTGCCAGTGCAGGCAAGCAAAAACTTCCTTCTCTATTCGCACGTGCGCGCACACGCCGCGATGAATTATATCGATCGCATGGCAATACAGCGTGATAATATGCGACAGTAAGACGTGGCAAACCGATTAAGCAAACAGAAAGGCACCCTTCAAACATGCGAAGCCCTCGGCCGATCCAAATTGACGCGCGTTCGAGGGCACCCCCCTCCAAGACACGCAAGCACATCCCGCAGACGCGAAGAGCACCAGGATCTCCCCGAGCCGACCTCGATCTTATAGGTTGGTCCGACCGTCCGACAAGATCACGACGCGGCCAAGGGGACAAGGGGGGAGCTGATGGAGGCGGCAGACAAACTATGGACAAAGCGACGTCCGTGGTTGCTCACAAAATTCGCATTGCCAGTGGAACGGTTATATGTACATGTATACGCGCATACATATGTGTACGTAGATGATGATGAATATGCATGTGTACTTATATACGTTTACGCGTGTATATGTTTATGCATGTGTACATCTATTTGTCACACATATACACACGTGGCATATCGGCATGGTCGTTGCCGTTGCGTTTCAGCTCCGCTTGCAGCGCGCGCGTTGCGAGCAACCGCGAAAACCTCATTCCGAAGCGCTTGCGCCCGTGAGTCGCTGCGCACGCGACGCGCAGATGTCATCGATATTCGGCGACCTGTTTTCAACGGTCGCGCCTATGCGATTAAGCTGCCCTAAAGAATCGGGCAGCGCGCCTTGGGGCCGGCGGATGCGCGAATTTAAGAAGCGAGGAAGTAGCACGAGACATCCCCGCAACCCTGCGAGAACAGAGCGGGTGCGCGCGGAAAACTACGCTTGCTTCCGCCGCCCTTCCACCGGTGTTTCCGCGCCCCTTCCGCCAGCCCCAGTAGGGCCCCATTGCGGACAAGCAAACGCCAGCGCCGTGTCAACATATATGGTGCGACGCGACTCAGCACAAATATGTGGCAAACTACACACGTATATCAGTTTCACGCACGCGCACGCATGTAAATACATACACATATATGTATATGTATATGCATATGTATATGCGTATGTTATTGTATATGTGTATATATACACTGCGTAAACATTATCACGCCAGCGTATTCTACAACCGACGCGCATCGATGTGCTGCCGAACATGAATTGTTTACCGGAATACCTCGGACGCTGCGGATGCTGAGTATAGATGTTGTCGAATACGGGGGCGTTGTGGAGGAACGAACGATGCCAGAAGAGAAGACGGGAGGTTGAGGCAAAAAGGAGGCAACCAGGCGGACACCCGGTAATCGCGGAACGTCTAGCGTATGTGTTAACTGTTGCCGTCACCGTCATTTTCCGGATGTCACGATCGTTTCTAATTACGAGCGACTGGCTTCGGTTCATAATGCGAATTTCGGCGCCCACTCCATCCATCCCATCCCCTCGTTTCCGCCTCCCCACTCTCCCACTTCCTCCTCCTCCATCCCCTCCTTCCTCCTCCTCTTTCTCTTTTTCTCGTCTCTTCCTCCTGTCATGGCAAGCTCATACTTCAAGGGCTCACGGGCGGTGGCCTCCTTCCTCCTCGTGCTCCTTCTCCTCCTCCTCCTCCTCCTCCGCCTCCTCCCCTCCTCCTCATGCTTATCCTCCTCCTCTTTCTTCCCCCTTTCCTACTCCGCCTCCTCCTCCTCCTCATTCTCCTCCTCTTCCTCCTCCTCCTCCTCCTCCTCCTCCTCCCCCTCCTGTTCCTCCTCCTCCTCAGCTTCCGCCGCCCTTCCGCCGTTGCTTCCGCGCCCCTTCCGCGGGGGAACCTCCTCGCCGCGGCCTCTCCGCCACGTTCCTCTCCCGCCGCCCGCCCACCCCTCCCTTCCTCGCCGCGCTCTCCGTTCCCCAAATAATATGTTTGATTGCCGCATCCTTCTGCCAACCTTCTGCCGGCTTTCGCCGAACCAAGAGATGACAAGTTTGTTAGCTTTGGGAGACAAGGGCGGTTCCGAAATCCGTCGTATATATATATATATATATATATACATACATACATACACACACGTATGGAGGAACAGTGTGCTCTTGCAAAGTACGTGGTGCAGGTTACAGAGTGCAATATCAGGAATGCAATCGGAGTTTTGCAAGCCACGGGGTGCAATCTAACTGGCGCACCGTAGGTGGTGCAAGCTCCGTAGTGTAATCTATGTGGCGCGCAACCTACGTGGGGTAATACACGAATGTGTATACATGTGAATACAAACCGACATACATACATACATACATACATACATACATACAAAAATACATACAGGTATACAGACATACACACGTCCATACATACATACATGTATACATGCAGATACACGTACACAAGTATACATACATATGGTGCAAGCCTTGTTGTGCAGAATGTGTGGTCCGGTATACGTGGTGCAACCTATGTGGTGGAGTATGCGTGGCGCAGTACAGGTGATTTACGCTATGTGGTGCAATGTACGTGGCGCGCGATCTAAACGTTGCAATATACGCAATGCAATTCACCAATGCTGGCAGTGAATTGTCAACTCCACTGTTCGCGCAATCATCCCACTCACCGACCCTCAACTTGGTTTGCAAAATCCATACGACGGCGATTGCGACGAGCGCCTGGCGTTGGCCAGTGCATCTCTGCGGCCGCGGTAGCCCGCGCACGCTCGCGCACGCAGCGACCAGCTAATGCGGCGCGACCGACGCGGCCGCGTGGCGCTGACCGCGGGGCATTTCCAGCGGGTACTTCAGTTCGAGTCGGCGACCTGGGCGGGCGCGGTATCATGGCGACGCCGACAACGATAGACACGATGATGAGAGTAGCGATGATAGTGACGATGGCGGCAATGACGCTTGCAAGGCCAATGACGGCGCCGATGTTGATCACGCCCGCCCATAACGATGACGATGTTCTCACGTCAGCGATGAAGGTTTCGGATGGAGTTCGACATGCGCGCGCGGCCGACACGCGCGAGTGGCCCGCGTGGAATTATTTGACACGGATCGTGCCCCCCCACCCCACCCCACCCCCCAATACGCGCGCAAGGGCGCTCGGATGAGTTCGACATGCGACGCGAAAAGCCCTGTTAGCACAAGTTGATGACATCGTTGAAAACCGATAGCTTCCGTAAGAATTCGCAAGAGCGCGCGCGTGCTTTTTTGAAAACTGGCGTTGCAGTGCCATGTGTTTTTACATGTTTTCGGGACACTCGGTTTTGAAATCCCTACTAAACCTGAGGTTTTTGAAGGATTGCGGCATGCGCGCGCGACGACGCGCGCGTGCGCACTTCGTCCCTTTTCCTTGAAAGGGACTCTGGCAACAAAATGCGCGGAAGCGCGTTCGAGCGATCTTGCCATGCGCGCGCGAGAGGCCCGTTTGGTAGCATGTTATGAACATGTTGGCAAACCTAGAGACGACTTGAGAACATGCAAGAGCGCGAGCACCAGTTGTTTTGAATATCATTGTTGCGAAACCATGTGCTTCTACATGTTTTCGGAGCACTCCGTTTTGAACCCCCACAGAAAATAAGGTTTTTGAAAATGTTCGACACACGCGCGCGTCGACGCGCGCGTGCGCATTTCGTCCCATCTGTTGCAAAATATTGTTGGAAACTTGTGATTTGTGATACACGAGTGCGCGCGCAGTGTTTTTTTAACAGAGGATGACTGGTGGTGTCGATGCAGGCCTGGCTGGGATGTTACGAATTCATTCGGATGGACGATGGGGCAGAATAATATGTAAATGGCAATACGAAAAAGGGGCGCCTAAGTCCGGTGGGGTAGATCCTAAGAATCTTTTGGTAAGGAGAACCTAGACGGTGCAAGCTACGTGGTGCAATCTATGTGGAGATAACGTGCTCGTCTATGTGGTGTGAGCTACGTGGCAATATATATAGATATATCTCTATGTGAATAGATGAACAAATATACACACGTATACATATTTACATGCAAATATATGGTGTGCAAGCTATGTGGTGCAATCTATGTGATGCCATATGCTGCATTCGATTGCAGTCGATTGCAATGAAACTGGGGCGGGTGCAACGGGGCGGCGGCGACAGGCGACGATTGCGACAACAAGCGCGGCGACCGACACCCAGGCCCAGAAGCAGCGGCGACGGACGGCAGCAACGGGCGGCGACGGCGACAACAAGCCGGCCAGACCGACACCCAGGCCCAGTTCTTTTTAGACAACGTAAGACCGCCGTATTAAATGCAAGCACTGTTCAGGGAATGATACCGGTGAAAACCCAATCATAATCTTTTTAGGGCTGAAGGGCTATGTGGGCTATAGGCTATAGGGCTATTGGGCTATAGGGTAATAGAGCTACAGGGCTATAGGGCTATAGGGCTATAGGGTATAGGGGTACAGGGCTATAGAGCTATAGGGCTATAGGGCTATAGGGATATAGGGCTATTGAGCTATAGGGCTAGGGCTATAGGGCTATAGAGCTGTAGGGCTATAGGGCTATAGGGCTATTGGGCTATAGGGCTATAGGGCTATACAGCTATAGGGCACCCGGGCACCCGGGCACACCCGGGCACACCCGGGCACCAGGGCACCTGGGCACCCCGGGCACGCCAGGGCACCCGGGCACCCGGGCACCCGGGCACCCCCGGGCACCCGGGCACCAGGGCGTGCGGCGAAAATCGGCGGCAAACCTAACCTAACCAGATGCATCCGCTAGGACCCCTACAGAAGCAAGCTCTGATTGGGAATATTGTCGCAAATCTGATTTGCTTTTGGCGATTGGTTTCTCAGGCCAGCCGGCCTGGCGCCGAGCCGTACGGAACCCTCGCAGCCAGGCCTCGGGCAAGGATGGACAAGGACGTCGTCGAACGGCCCAGCGCAGCGCGGGCACCGACAGGCGAACTCGTACCTCTCCGGGGGGCGCCAACCACACCATCAAACCCGGGCGTCGCAAAATGAAAAATCGTGGCGCTCGCATCTCTGGGGGCCGTTTCCGGGCCCTGGAACAATCAAAGATAATGCAGGCTCAATGATTGGTCGTCTGGGGGCAGGGGTCGAGATTTGCGGTGGCGAGCCTGCGCTGCGAAACAGATCACAACGGCAGGGGTTGTTGGAAAACACCTACACCGTTCCTGACCACGCCCGCCTTGGGCCCAGGAACGGCGCATACGTCTTCCTGGGGAAGGGGGAATGAAAAGAAAAGAGGAGGAAACAACAACAAAAAAACGCGGGAGCAAGCGTTGCAAGTCGGCGACGTCAACAGCTTCCCTCCAAATACCGACCACCAAAGCACCGAGCAAGCGTTTTCTTACTCTGGGTTCGGACATTTGGCCGAAGGGTGGGGGGCGGTCTGGGTCTTGACCACGGTTCTGTCGATCTGCTTTCACCAGTCGCGCAAGCAGACCGGAGGGGTGGGTACTGACCTGTTGCCACAAGCAGCTGCCAAAACCAGCCGCTTACAGCCGGCAAGATTTGGACGATTGGGGGAGAGGGAGAGGGGGGGCTGGGGGCCCGCGCCGATCGGCGAAACAATACATAGAAAATGGCGTGGTGGACACCGGCCGTTGCTTCGAACAGCACCCTCTTGCTTGCCATCGCTCGGACATCCATTCACCGTGCATTTGTCGGTTTCGTGCGTGCTTCTTCCTTCTCGCACGATGGTCCAAAATGTTCGTCGACGGTCCTCGCCGAGATCAAATAAATTCACACGTCCGAACGATGCCAAACTTGCACCGGTCGTCGGCCCAGGAGAGGCCTGCCCAAAATCAACGCAGGTGCATCGTCAACGCCCTCCCGCCTGCGGCCGAGGTGTTCGCGCCGCTGGCGCCCAGGAGCCAGCAGGTCCTCGGCCCCGAGGTACGAGATGCACACCTCCGAACGACGGCCCCGCACTCAAGCAATCCCTCTTTTTCTTTCTCAGTCCCATCGCCCCTTACTCCCCAACTACTTCCAACCCCTCCTCGCAAACACACACACACAGACACACACACACACACACCTAAATCGGCGGCGCAGAAGGACCCCAGGCGCGGTCGGCAGGTGGAGGTGCCAATTGCGAACGAACTGACTCGAACGCGACATGATGAAAAAGCCGAGTCACGACAATGCACTCTGAAGGTGAACAGAGCACGAGGCACCGCAAAGCCAAACTGCAGCGGTCAACGAAACGAAGGGCAAATCGACTCGAAGAAAATGACGCGCCAGAAGCAGTCTGGTGCGAAATCACCACTGGATCGGCGGAGGGATGTTAGACCGTGAAGACAATGAACGGAAACTTGTCAAGCTGCCAGACCAGCCCCAAAAAAGTAGAATCGAAGAACCTACGACCCGTAACTACTGGGTAGGCTTCTAGCCTACGAACCGGCGACGACCGATGTATAACCAAAACGGGCGAAGTGTTGAATGGGTGGTAACGGAGCAGCGCGCGCCACTGAAACAGACCAATGCCGGTGATACGCCCAGGCTGGCCGAAAAAAGGCTGCAAAAGAAGCACCGACCAAATATATTGGTAGAATACCGCTCGAGCAACGGAAGTAGAGACGCGAGGTGCCCTGTACGCACGGCCGCCTAGGTCGCCACCAAGTCAACCAAGGATGTCTCAGACAAGACGCGGAAGGCGCCGCGAGGCTCGCAGAAGGCCCAGTGAAGAGCCTACGCCGTGCCTGAAGGAAGGCAACACATGCAGGACAGACCTTGGCGGCGGCAAACACAAGACCACCCCAGGAGGCCCACCCACACGGAGCCAGGATCCCCGACCCAGCGCCAGCAGCTCGGGGGTTCCCGAAGACGCGGCGCCAGGAGAGAGCTTCAGGACGGCTCAACCCCCGTGGTGGAGGCGACCCAGATGGAAGGGGAGAGGTAGGGGAAGAGCAAACAAGCCAGAGGCAGGAAGGCAGCCCGGAAAGACGACGGCGGGGGACCCCACGACACGGCCGAGCCCACGACCGACGACGACGGCGACCGAACGACCCCCGCGACCCACGAGGAACAGGGGGGGGGGCCGACGAGCCACCGCCACGGGGGGGCGCCGGCGGAAGGCGGCAGGAATGTCACGCCACCTCCGACAGACAAACCGAACGCCACGGGGCCTAAGGCCGAGAGTGGCAAGAGCGAGGGTAAATGAAACACGGCCGAACCAACGGCGACAGAGCAGCGCGCGCAGACATCGACAAAACGGTGAGCAACGGGCCACAGCAGCCGACGCATCAGCGCGTGACACGAGCGACTGATAGGTGTCTGACAAAGCAAACGGCGAGAGACCAGTGCCTGTCTGGCGCGTGACCGCCCGAATCGAAAAAAAAAAAAAAAAAAAAAAAAAAAAAAAAAAAAAAAAAAAAAAAAAAAAAAAAAAAAAAAAAACGCGGTGCCCTCAACGCGCCGCGAGGAAAACGCGCAGGAAGCTCACGTCACGCAGCCGTGGGTCCAGCACGTTGCCGCCGCACTGCGCGCAGGGAGCTGTCCAAGCTATCTCGCACTGGTCCCCCAGCCGCTGGATACGGGCCACGAGCTGTTCCTGGGACAACTGGCAAGCCAACCAGGTGCCCAGCTGAGTCAGGGGCCTCGTTCGCATCGGCCTGCCAAGTCAATCCTGCCGAAGTTGGCGAGGCGCAAGTGCCAGCCGGTTGCCGCCCGCGCGTTGGCAGGGAGCACAAGAACTCGATCATGGCCTGTCGTGGGACTATTTCTGGGCTAGCTCGCCCCTTCCACCTTTTCCGGTACCCACGCGAAATGATCCCAGCGTTAACGAGTCCACGGGGAGTCAGCCCACGCCTCCTAGACCGCAGGGCAAGCTCGCCCTGTCTCTCTTGGCCTGGGATGCTGTCGTCGGGCGGCGATTGGTGGCATAGTACTGACAAGATTGGCGGTGTAGCACCGAAGCACTGGTGCGCGCAGGATGGGGAACAAGCTTCAGGACGTCGCCGTCCTGCTCTTGCACCTCCCTGCTGCCGTCCACCGCGATGCAAGCAGAGTCCCAGCAGAGCTCCGGACCCCTCCGCTCTCGGGCATCGCTGGACGTCAATACTGCGCGCACCGCTTTCTCGAACCCCCCATCGACGCCCACCTCCGCCACCACGTCGACGGCCTCCTTCATATCGACGTCCCTGTCCTTCTCCATGGCCACCCCTTTGTCACCCTCCTCGCCATCCCCATCCTTTGGTTCAAAGATCACATCGGGCATGTGCCAAAAGGACGTCGCCGCCCTGTTCCTGCACCTCCTTGCTGCGGTCCGCCGTGACGCAAGCAGGGCCCCGGGGGAGCACCGGACCCCCCACTCACAGGTATCGCTGGACGTCAGTACTGCGCGCACCCTCTCTTCGAACCCCCCATCGATGCCCGCCTCCGCGACCACGTCGACGGCCTCCTTCATATCGAGGTCCCCCTCCTCCTCCTCCATGGCCACCCCTTTGTCACCCTCCTCGCCATCCCCATCCCTTGGTTCAAAGATCACATAAGGTATGTGGCAAACCTGATGAACGGCAATGAGGGTATGTAGCAAACAGAGCACTCTCTTGTTGGCCATGTCGGAGCTCCGGACGCCCTCCACGACCTCCTCCACCCCGTCGTCGACGTCTCCATGCACCTCCATGTCCTCCTCGACCGTGCCGCTGCTGCCAGGGCCGGCCGGCCCTGTCGGCAGTGACAGATGATGGGTCGGGAATGCTGCAACAGATGAAGGGTGATGGGTCGGGGATGCTACCCACACGTTGCTCGGGGTGCTGTAACGGATGATGGGTCGGGGATGCTCGGGCTCCAGCTTCAAACCCAGCGTCTCGCTGAGCAGCGACAGGGCCAGCCGCCGCTGGCTCTGCCCGCTCGTCTCGCACATGCTGATCGGGGTGCAGTCGCAGATAACGGTGGGTTCCAGCTTCACCACCAGCATCTCGCCGAGCGGCGCCAGAGCCGGCTGCCACTGCCCCTGTCTGTCCTTCTCGCACGCGCTGATCGGGGTGCTGTAGCATATGATGGTGGGGTCCTGCTTCACTTCCAGCATATCGCTGAGCAGCGCCAGGGTCGGCTATCACTGCCAACGCATGTCCTTCTCGCACGTACTGATCGGGGCGCTGTAGCAAATGATGGCGGGCTCCAGTTTTACACTCAGCATCTCGCCGAGCAGCGCCAGGGTTGACTGCCACTGCCCCTGACGGGGCGGGGCGATGTAGCGGATGATGATGGACTCCAGCTTCACATCCAGAACTCCCGGATACGAAAATAACCAGAGCCCTCAAACACATATGAATCATGCCCGTGCCAGCCCAAATTCCAGGACACCGATGGGGGCTCAGAAATGGAGAACTGGCGCGAGCGAAGTAGCCCCTCATCCGTGAACCCCTACCAATCTGGATCGATTGGCGGCTGGGGGAGCGTACGGATTTCTCAAGTGATCTGGGAAGGTCCGGCGAGAAGAACCACCTGTGGAGCCTGGTCGAGTGCGCGTTAGGTTGCAACTCGTAGGAGAACGAACTCAGCGTCGGCCCTGGCATTTCGTTGGTGCCAGAGCAACCCTGATCCGGCCCAATCCCGATTAATCTCGCCCACGGCTGAGTATTTGGCTTAATCTGGCTTGCAATCTGGCCCGATAGCCCACGGCAGATTCGTATCGTGACAACACCGGCGTTGGTTTCTGACACCGCGTGGATCTTTCAACCCTGAACGATCGGCGGCGTTTCGGTCGCAAAATCTTTCCACATCGGCCAATTCTGGGCCACTGGCGGCGATCAACCCGGAACGCGGGCGCTGAGGTCGTAACCACGTCGATACTACACGAACCAACCGCTTGGAGGCGGTCGGGGGTGTCCGAGCTGGTTGGGACCCCAGAAACTGGTCAGCAGGGGGGTTCAAGGCTTAACTCGGGCCTGTCCCTCTACAGGGGGAATATTCAAAAATAGTCAGAAAATAGTTTGGGGACGATGTTCGTACCATTTTTGGCAATTGTTCTAAAAAAAATGTGGGGCATGTTTCTGAATCGTCGAATCCGCCTGTAGAGGGACATGCCCGACCTAATACAAGGCCAAATCCGCTCAGGATCGGTCCTCAGACCCCTCCCAGGGTCCAGCTGGTGCAGCTCTTCACCACGGACCCGTTCTTGACGGCCTCGGGATCCGAGAACGGCCCCAAAAGAGGCAAAAAAAACCTCCCCGAGCCTAGAACCTCGAACCTGCCCGCACTTCTTGCTGGCCGGAGACAGAGCTGGGTCACCGACCCCCAGCCGACTCCAACGTACCGCACCCATCGGGCTCAGCACTTGCCATGGCTCGGACGTCCAGTTCCCGTGTGTTTGTCGATCTCCGGGGCCCCTGCCGCCTCCCCCGCGGCGGTCGCCCCCCCCCACCTGTGGGTCTCCGCCCCGCTGAAGGGCCCTTGCTCCCGCGTTTGACTTCACCTGTTCGGTGCCGCGCTGTCGCTTCCTGCGGTGGCCGCCCTCCCCCCTCCTGCTGCGGGGCCCCCCTACACCGCCAGGAGGCGTACGTGTCTTCCTCAGACATGCGACGTCTTGATTTCTTCAGGACGGCGTCCCCGGAAGTCCCGAGCCTTTTCCTGGGACCAGTTTTTCGTCCTGAATCGTTTTTTGACTGTCCCAAGGCCCGGCGAGGGCCCCCCGAGGCCGAAATTGGCCAACAACCTGCCGTCCTGATTTTTAACGCGATCACGTCTGGGTCTTTTCCCTGCACCAGGCTGGTGACAAGCTCTCGCTTCAGTGCAGGTCCTTGCGGGCTCGCGGCTCGCGCAACCAGCCCCTTGCTGGTCAAGGGCCGCCGGTCACCACGGCACCCCATCCAGCCTACCGCGCGGGCGCGCGCCGCCCGCTTCGTGCCCTGCTCCCGTCCCCACGCTGGCCTTCGTGCCGTGCGGTGCGCGCCGCCTGTCATGGCGCATGCCGCCCCACCTGTGGGCCTACGTGACTACCTACCAGACCACCCCAACCCAACCCGAAGACCCGAATTTCGGGTTGGGGGGGGTATGGGCTCCATGTCTTTTTTCGATGTTCCCCGACGCCCCCCACTGGAAATAGGGTGCAAATTGAGGCCTTCGGGTTGGGTTGGGGTGGTTTGGTGGGTGGTGACCACAGATAAGGCGTTCTCCTCCCTCTTCGCTTTTACCCCCCCAGGTTCGCTCTCCCTCACGCGCCGCCATTGGCGCTGCTGGACGCAAGCTGTCGCCTCCCTTGCCTGCCAGCAGCCGGCACCCGCGCCTGCCCCGGGCCTGGTCTTGCCGCCCGCCGCTGGTGCCGCAGCCTCGACTGGCTCCGCCCGCACCCGCTCTGGGGTTGGGCAGCCCTCTGGCTATGATACTGTTCGTCACGCACCCTTTGTACCCAGGATTTACATCCCCGCACTGGGCCCCGCCGCCGCCTGGCCCGCTGACGCAGCAGCCGCCGCGGGCTCGCCGGCGGGGCTGGCCGCGCCGCTCGCTCGGGGAGCGATCCGTCCCCCCTGAGCTGCTCGCTCCGTCCGCCCCTCTTTTGGCCGCGCCCTCCCCCCGCTCCTCCTCTTGACTGGTGGCACGATTCGCTCTGGCGGCATCGCCGTTTAGGCATCCCATCGCCAGCGCAGACGTCCCCTGCCTAGCCGCCGACGCAATAAGTATTTGTCGATCTCGTACGCTTATTCTCCGAATATGATCCCAGATGCTCCTCAATGGTCCCTTGCCGAAGAAAAAATGCACACGTCCGAAGCGGAAAGGCTTAAGACTCGGGTACGGAGAACTCGGGTTGGCCTGACGGGGCCACCATTAAAATGACGAGACCCAGTCTGAAATCTGACGCGAACTCCCCCGCTGCAGACGTCCCACGAAAACCGGACCGCCAAAATCCAGGACGCGCTCGTCAGAAAACATCGGCAAGCCCGAGCCCCGGCGTTCTCGAGCCTTTCGGGGGCGGCCAAGAGGGGAGCGTCCAAGAGGGGGGGGGGGGGGGGCGCAACTCATGGCCGGCGGCATGTGCGCGTCCCATTGGGCCAGGGGTCATGGCCGGCGGCATGTGCGCGTCCCATTGGGCCAGGGACGTAATGAAATAAGAAAAGGCGCCATGAAATCTGGGGAAAGATCATGGCCCACGCCATAAGATCCACCCCCCCATAGTCATCACCCCCCTCTTTGCCGCCCCCGAGTCTTACGCTTCCCCGTCCGAGCGATGCCGAGAACGGAGCCCACTGGGCCCCACGAGGGCCTCCCGGGGAGCTCCCTCCCCAGGCGTGCGGGGCGGCCGGGGCCTCCTCGCCGCGGCGTATCCTCCGCACGGCGCGGACGGCGAGCAGGCCCGCCGGGCTGCAGACGCGGCAGGAGGCGTTCGGAAGGCACGAGTGCGACCTTCAGGGAACCAAAGACAGCATACAGTGAAGGCCAGTGATGGCACGGCCCAGTGGCTGTAGCACCTTGAACCATCAATGCCTACCCTGCGCACCCTCCTGGCGATGCCGAGACAGCGCCAGCTCGGTGCCTAGGCATCACCAGGTCGATGCCTAGGCATCGGCTACGCCCAGCTACGTCCATGGACGCATCCATCGATGCATGCGTAGGCATACCCATGCGGATGCCTAGGCATCCGAGGCATCGACACGGCCATGCCTGGGCATGCTACGATGTTGCGTAAGAACCTAGGCGGTGGGTCAAGGTGATGGCTGGTAGCAGAGCGAGCGGGCCGACCCAAGGCAAGTCCACAAGAAGCCTTCCACAAGATGCCCAACCCTGAGACCCCAGGACGCCCATCGAGTTCTGGTGTAGGAACGTCGCGCCTTCCACAGCAAAGCCATCGGAACCCAAGAAACCCAAGGCACCCTGGAGGCAAGCAGGGCGTTTCTTGGCATGGGCCTTCACTGTAAGCATACTTTCTCTGAGGTCCGCGCGGACTTCTTGGATCAGCGCTGGACCCCCCCCTTGGCGCGCGGAGGGCCCAGCGCGGACCCAAGAAATCCGCGCGGACCTCCGAGAAATCACGTTTCATGATTCTCCGAGACATTCGGGAGGCCGTCGCGTACAGCGCCGTGCCGATCCACCGGCCAGGCGTCGCGCTGGAGGCGGCGCCGAGCCAGCAGCCGATCGAGTTGAAGCTGAAAGCCAGGCTCACCCGCAGGAAGAGGTCCAGACGTCCCGAGGGCAGCCGGGGTCCAGTTCTATTTCTCGTCGTCGCCGCCGCCGCGGCAGCCACCGCCGTCGTCGTCGTCGTCGCCACCGTCGAAGTCGTCGCCGTCGGCGTCGGCGTCGGCGTCGGCGTCGGCGTCGTTGTCGGCGTCGGCATCGCGGACATCGTCGTCGTCTTCGGCGTCGTTGTCGTCGTCCTCGGCGTCGAGGTCGTCGTCGGCGTCGTCGTCGGCGCCTTCGGCATCGTCGCCGTCGAGGCGTCGTCGTCGCCTTCGGCGTCGTCGTTGTCGTCTTCAATTTCTTCGGCGTCGCCGTCGTCTTCGGCGTCGCCGTCGTCGTCGTCTTCGTCGTCTTCGGCGCCGTCGTCGTCGTCGTCGTCGGCGTCGTCGTCTTTGGCGTCGTCGATGTCGTCTTCGGCGTCGTCGTCGTCTTTGGCGTCGTCGCCGTCATCTTCGGCTTCGTCGTCGCCTTCGTCGTCGTCTTCGGCGTCAGCATCGTCGTCGGCGTCCT